AAATGAGAAAATAACGCTTGAGTGAAGCGTGTTAGACGCACGTATTAAAAGAAATCATTTAGTACGAGACGGCTGTGTAGCAGATGCCTCCCAGCTATCCCAAAGTCACGTGACTCAGGCGCGAGAGATGTTGATACCCAGTCAGGCCTTCTGCGCAGCCTGGCGCGCACTCTAGTTGTATCTCTCCTCTATGGTAAAACAGGTTTTAAAACGCATGCGATTGTTTTTCAGTGATGCCACAAATCCGAAAGGTATACTCGAAAGCTGATTGTCATAGTACAGGAGACTACGTTTGTCAAAAAAAAGGTGCTTTACCTCCTTTTTAAGTATTATTTATTACATATACGTTAAATTAAATATAGGGGATTTCTTCACTATTTATTTGGAAGATCTTCACATTTAAAGGATCTTGTAGCATTTATTTTATATACTTGTTTTTTGTGCATTTCTTTTATTATTATTATTATTATTATTATTATTATTATTATTATTATTATTATTATTATTATTATTTGATTTGATCATTTGTTCATTATTAGTTTGTTTTATTTTTGTTATTATAATTTTTTGTTTATTCGGTTTCATATAGTCTTTGCAGCTATTTTCAGAATTAACATTTTACCTTATTTCTTTTGCTTCTTCCAAGAATTAACTTGCAACTTTGACACAGCCACCATTTTACTCTAGGTGTTCAAATGTCGTGCTAATCGATATAATACCCCGAGGGTCAGTTTTTGTGCATCCCTCCGTAATTTTTCGTGGTTTTACCGCCCGTGTCACTACATCCTTCTTTTAGACTAAAACTATATTTAATGTTTCTTGTAAATAATTACATTACAATTATTGTAGAAACTCTCATGTCCCGTTCATACCACGTGCCTCCAATGGAATGAGAATTAGATGCAGCAGACAGAATTTCGCCTTCTCATTGCACCACTAGGGGCGCCCGGGCTGTGCGCTTTCCGTGTTTGCCTTGACGCTCCCTCTTCACGCGGAAGGACGCAGATGGAAGACGTGTAAAATGCTCTCCCCTCTTGTTTTCAAGAAACGGTCAAGTAAGTAATTCAAAACTGCCTTAAACAGCGTTATTATTTTAATGCAATATTTGTGTTTCACGTGAATATTTTTATTGTCAAATTTGTTCGAAAAGTTCTTCAGTGAGACGAAATGGATCTGTGTCTGAAAATGCACTAGTTACGAGTTTTGACACACGCGCTATTTTATAGTTCGTGTCATTGTGTGATAATAACAAAATTTTCGCCAAAATGTGACGTGGAAATGCGAGTTTGATTGTGTAAAGCATAGAAAAGAACGCGGTGACAAAGAACGAAATATTGTTGGTGTTTTGGGAAAAACAACGGAAGGGCAATAAAGACAATGAAAGAAAATTAATAATTATTACCTATTATTATTATCTAAACTAAAAGCACGAAATAGAAGATAATGCGCATACACTCATAACTTGTTTTCATTATCACGATTGTAATATATAATTCATGTTCGAATTACTATTGGAGCTTTTTTAAATAAATTATTAGTGATAAATATTCAAAGTATAATTATTTTGCTTTATTTTTAGATAATTGTCAGTTGTCCTAACTAATGTTCGTTTCTTGTATGGCCAACTTGTGCACATTCTATAAATTGAAATTGATGCCATTGGTTGGTAGATCCGATCAGTTGGTATCACTGGGTCGGGCTGGGCCGACATTTCCTGGAGGCCTTCCGCTGCAAGCAAATGTCCTGGAGCAGTCGACGAGAGTGGACGCGTTTTGGCGAACCGTATGGCAACGATCAGATCATCTACAATTTGCGAAAATCATTGACGGGAATTAGCTCCTGCAAAATTACAGCTATCCTGTTTTGTGTGAACGTAACAGAGCTGAAGGAAACAATTTATTTTCTGGCGTCGCAAGTGTCAAGATGGCGAAGTAAGTTTTACTTGCCTTTGTAGATTTAGTTGTTCAATTTCCTTTGTTTTCTTCGTTCTGTTCACATTTCTTCCTTTCCTTTGCTCCTTTTTTAGTTGTTTTTCCCTTCCACTCAAGTTTTTACACACGGACATTGTACAATAAAGCTGTCAGTTCAATTACTACATTTGTATTTCAATGTCCTCAAGAGTTCAATTCTTTAAAAAATTATAACTCTGTTGATGAAATTCTGGAATACATTAATTATATTTCTATTCGTAAAATTCTATAGACATTGTTCATTCAAAATGTTAAAGTAAGAAATAATTTCGAAAAATAAATGTATGCAATGAAATTCATACTTCAAAGTAGCAAAAAAGTGTGAATTTCTTTTGGTAGTGTCAATTACACACTTTGTATGTCTAGTTCTGCTATGTTTTTTTCAATGTACGTTTAAACTTTTGACATTTCGTAGACAAAATGCCTAATACATCTCAGTGAACACCTACTATGTATTTGAGATATTCCCAGATGAAAAGTTGTGAATGTGTAACAGGTAGCACTAATGTTTTCTGTTTCAGTAGTGGAAGTGAATAACGATAAAAGTTTTCGTTGTATTTCGTTAATTGGAGAGTTAAAATTTACGCTGTTACGAGTTAAAAAAAACTGCTAACACCTTCATTTTCCAGGTACATAAACGATACCATTTTTCTATTTTTGTATATACAAGAATTGATACTTCAAAACTTGATAATAATATTTTTATATTTATTTGTCTGCAGAAGAATTTCAGGAACAAGTCACATATTAGTGACTAGTCAATTATTGATTGACACTACTACTGGACTGTAATAGTGAATGTAAGTGCTATGTTTTCTTTTTCATAAATTTTTCTCTATAATTCAACATTCTTTACATTACGAAACTTTTGTTTTATTTTACAGTAATTAACTTCCAAATTTTCGCTAAAGAAAATAGCAACAATGGTACGTCAAATGCAAAATTAAAGAAGATTCACTACAACCGAATGCTTATGCAGTAATTGAATCGGTAAGTTTGAACAAATGTTTTAATTGTTAAAATATTTGTGTATATTTCATGTTGTATATGTTGTCCTGCTGTATATGTTAATATAATGTCATATTCATAAACTATTTTATACAAATAATTATGCAGTGTCATTTACGAGTAATGCCGCAAATATTGTCAAAACTGTGCAATATTATTCCCTTGGATTTTTTAATGTCATATATTCAAGTACTTTCAATTAATGGAGAAAATTGTGCATGTTCATACCTATTACAAAATAATGTTACCCACAACATGTCTCACATCTTTTAAAGAAACACAAATTTCATTAACGTTTTCATCGACAAATTTCTTAAACTAAAATTAAAATTCAACGGTGTTGTCAGTGATGTTAAATTTAAATTTAAAGAAGTTTTAAAATAGTGTGAGTATTTACTTTGGATAGAACTGTAGTTTTGTGGAAGAAATTTGCTTATTTTCGAATATCAAGTTGTGAAGTATTCTACCCAAACCGTAACTTACTGGTGATATTTCTCTGTGTTATATATTTTTTGCAAACTAAAATGGTCTTCCATTCATGGACAGAACATGACGCAAATTACTTTTTTCTCTTATTCCATAACTAAAGAAAATTATCAATTAACTTAGGAGCTCAGTCATCAGCAACCTTCGACCTGCTTCTCTTAACACTTTAACTATTTTATTGGTTCTTGTAAATATTGTTATTCTCTGGCATTAAACGTTATTCCCTAAAAATATCCAAGTTTATTTATGTAGAGAGAGTAATAAGTTCTACTTTTGTTTTAACCAAATATCTAATGGTTTCCCTGATGCCGGGAACAAACTCCTGCAGAAAAGCGAATAACGGCAACTAGAAATGTTCATTAACTGAATGTTTGAAAATTGAGAAAATGTGAGGTCGGAATGGGAAATTATTATTCCATTTCCTACTGACCCTTTGGTGGCACAGTACTGCAATTTCTATTTTTACATTATAATAGTATTTATGAAAACCTCTTGTTTATAAATGCAATATGGTCACTAATGTTTGTCTGTGTGTACAGCTGTACAAGGGCGTAATTATTTATTTATAGAGGGTGATTACATTGTTTAATAAGAGTTTGCTATAGGATTTATTGTCGGTTTGAGTTGAATTATTTTTATTTTGGCTAGCTGTGAAATCACTGATATGTGGTTCCTATCTTCACTTATATGTGGTTAGTCTGGTGTAAAAGTTTATACATAGACATTTGACAGGTTGATTTGGTGAAGCCCATGGATTTCGGTGAAAGTTCATTGGAATTGTGGTTGAAATTGTTCTTAGTGTCAATATTTTGGTGGATGATTTATAGTTCAGTTTGATTTTCCAATTCACAGACCAGTCATAATTTTTTATTTAGATGAGGTGTATTTACTTTGCATATTAAGTACTCGTAATATGAATTCAGCGAATTGAGCGTTGCTCGTGGGTGAAGTTGTAGGAATATAGATCAAGTATATGTTGAAATGGGTGAAGGATTGTTCTGAGACTTAATGTAATCAACGTTGATTCTGGGGGTTGCATCTGTTGTTTATCGCCTATGACTATATATTCTGTCTTGGAGGAGGAATCTATTGATGGCATTAATTAAATACTTGAGAATACACATTTCTGTAAGTTTGAATGTTAAATCAAGATGCCATACTGTATGAAATGGTTTAGAAATGTCCAGGAAGATGATTATTGTGTAAAGTTTGTTTGGAATTTCAGTTTGTATTCCGTGATCCTTAGTAATTGAAACTGAAGTTGAAATATTGTTGGTGAAGCCGAACTAGTGCATTGGAATTGTTTGAGTTTTAAGATTGGAATTCAGTCTTTTAAGAAATATTTCTCCTTGGATTTTTGACAGAGTGATGGAGGCTTCTTGGTCTATAGCGTTGTGATGAGATATCTGGCTCTGATAATGGCTTGAAGAAAGTTATTACTAGGGACAGATTTTAATGAAATGTAATTTTTTCTTTCTGCTTTAGAACACTACCTTTAAGAATAGGTATTAAGTTTATGATATGAGAAATGAAAATGACCCATTTTTACATGCGTTTTTTGCGTCGATTTTGACTAATAACCTATAAGTCATTTTTACTTTCGGATAAAACGGATAATTTTGGGCAGAAAAACCCTTATTACAGGGCCCTTGAAACAAAGAAATGGTTAAATCCAGTTGTTAAATTTAGAAAAAATCCTCTAACACATGATGTAACCAGAATCCCTGTTATGTGGGTCATTGATACCGAAAAATCGATTGGCGGAAATACGTGTGTCCGTCCGTCGGTCTGTCTGTGAACGCTATCGGTTAAACCGTTCAGCCAATTTTCTCCAAAACGGATATTCCCTTATCGACCTGGCTATTGCGGTCCCTTGAATTTGCAATCGATATTATAATTTTGGGGGATGCTATGCACAAAGCCCCTAGGACATTTTCAAAATTTTCAAAAAAATGGTGCCATCGATTTTGATTAAATTTTGCTGAAGGATAGCCTGAAGAATTTTCAAGACAATGGCGCAGGTCTCATAGTCGTTAAAAACTCTCATTTTTCAAAAGTTGAAAAAATTCAAAATATATTTTGGCGTCTTCCTACAACTAAAATATTAAAGATAGAGATTCCCCCTTATTGAAATGTGTTACTTAAAGTTAAAATCAGTTCATGTAGAAATTTTCGAAAATTTGAGTATTTTTCGTGTAATATAGCAAATTCTAAATTTCTGTTTAAAAAATGTTTTTCTCAAAAACGGCTCCATCGTTAGTGTGGCATTTCAGAACATGGTGCAAGTGTTGGTTGGAAACCCTATTTTTCGTCAGTTGAAAATATTCAAAATTTTTTCGGCGTCTTCCTTGAACTACAATTACGAAAATACATTTTTTTATTGAAATGTGTTCAGCAATAACATATTTTAAAAGGTTATGTCGATTTTTTCGAATCTATGAGTATTTTTGGAGTAATTGGGTACCTAGTATGAAAATACACCGATTCTTGATCGTAATTTTAGGTGCTTGGAAGCAGTTGGATGTTACGTAAGTTAGATTGTGTATCGAAGTTATTTCATATTTATTTGTTCGTGTCTTTCTTTATTTGTTCGTGATCCTTTGTTATGCGTTTGCAAATTAATCTTTTAGAAATATTTAAAACCTATTTGAAATAAATATAAAATTAAAATTGCTTGCATTCATTCACCACACACCCAATTTACGTAGTTGGATGATGCGTAAGTTAGAATTTATTTATTACTTCGTATATAATTTTATTATTTATTTATTTATGTTATTTCGTTTTAAATTGTATTCTTTAATTGTGCTAAATGTGAAAACGTGTAGATGAGAGGTAATTGTTGGTTGTTGTTATCCATTGTTTCAACGCCACGCCGCACAGATAACACGATAATGACGGATGCTTATTGTTCGCGGAAATAAAAACGAATATTTTTATATATTTAGAGAACATTACAATACCATACAATTATTAATAATTATATTTAATTATTTAATAATTAGAATAAATTTTTGATCAATTTGTTATCGTATTATTTATTAACTTTTAAATATTTTACTTGTTTGCATTCTGCTTATATTTCGCACCAAATGTTCTACGATTTCACCTGAAGTTTACGAAAAATTGTGGTATAAATAGTATTATATAACCATTACTAATGGTGAGAAACTTTGTGTTGTTTTAGCACCATTAGTTTCATTACAAATTAGCAAGCGCTACGTGATACGTAACACAGGGACAACGAGTCGGTGTTGCAACCTAATAAGATCTGTGGATTTAGTTTCTTGTGTTTCTGTGAAAGTTTCTGTGAAATTACGATTGATTATATTTCAAATTGGCAAAGTATTACAATTACGTATCGTTATATAGATGCCAATCGATACTGTTTGAAAATATGTTGATCATTCTCCAACATGTTTCAATCAGTTGTTTTCTGACATTTAGAATAATTGGTTGTTACAAATACTGTAAACGTACATATACGTAATTGGAAGGAAAAGTGTTTCTAAGAATGGCGAGTTAAGTTAAAAAAAGTAAAAGTTATCCGAACTGTTTTTGTTATATATGTTGCTTATTTACACTAAACCTCCAAGGGAAAATATCACCTCGTTTGTAACGAAAGCGTATAAAGCTTACTTCGGCATTAAGTTAGGGGATGGAGATAAATCTTGGGCCGCCTTAATAGTGTTTGTCACATGTGTTGCAGATTTGTAAAAATCGTATCAACGGAAACAGAAATCTTTATCTTTTGGTATTCCAATGGTGTAGAGAGAACAGAATAGTCATGTAAACGACATTTGCTTGGCGAAAGCGTACGGGCATAGGAAAAAAGTATGAAAGAAATAGTTTACCCCAATAGACCCGTATCACATGGTTCTGACATTTCAACACCAAACCCACCTACCATCTACATCATATTCAAATTATTCAGACTGCTGTGATTGTGTAATGGTTGTTACGATTTCGTCAAAGAAAAGAGAAGATCAAAGTTGTTAAATCAAGAAACCTAATTATTTGATGCGAGATCTTGGAATCTCAAAGGAATCGGCACAGGTTTTAGGCTCACGGTTGAAAGAGAAAAATATGCTCGCTCCAGGCACCGGTTTTGAAAAAGAGAATCCGCTATTTTCAAGTCTACATCTTTTTTCCTGAAAATCTCCTTTAATAATTGTATTAGTTTTCTTTTTGCCATTCGTGTTTTATTTATTTGAAACATAGCAAGGTGCTTTTAAGACACGCTTCAAAATTAACTTCTTAGGTGTTAACTATTGCCTCAAAGAGCCCAAACATATTAGGTCAACACCTTGCAAAAATAGTCACCAATGAAACTATGAATTAAAAATAATTATTGTATACTTTTTTTCTGCTTAATGCTTCACTGATTTACTAGCGAATACAATGTACATTTAGTTTTGACCGTTAAGAGTAATCTGTGTTTTTCGTTTGCCTGTGAATTGATCACAACGATCTGACGATTCTTGAAAGCATCCTACATAAGAAATCTGAATTCTAGTTTTCTTGCAAATAATATATTTGTACGAAAACAATGTGGAATTCACCATTAAGATCATCATGAACACTATAATATTAGGGTACTTTTATTATAATGCGTGTTCAACCTTTCAAAAAATAATTACTTCAAATGATTAAATAATTTTGTTCTTTTATTTTCAGAATCATGAAAGAAGAAATCGAATTTGGTCATCGATATTCTCTACTGGACAGCAAACAATCCACATCTGCTGTTCAACATGTAAACTCCTGGTGGTGCAAGCATAAGTATTTGCCATTTTCATTCGCCAAATTAGTTCATTTTTCTTCTTGTGCAAATAGATGTGATCAAGGGATAAAGATTTGAACTTCGTCTTCGCTATGATCCAAGAGTCAAACGAAAAAAAAAAAATTAATATTTTTTCATTGAAACCTGCCATGTTCATGTATGTAAATGGATGGGAATTTGTTTTTTATTAATATCCAAAACAAAATGACAACTGTGCTTCTGTGAACCTCACTTACATTTTCACATTGAAAATTTTAAATCATAACAATTGTTTTGAATGCAAAAGTATTTCCGGGGGTTATAACTGATTTTAAAGCATTCTTTTGTTATAGATTGTTTTCTTATAACTTTGCGGTGTCTAGTTCCCTTCAATTTTTAATTAATAAGTCCGACTGGGAAGTATAACATATTAATTTTAAATATTTCTTTTTTTTGTTGATTCAAATTTTAAATACTTGGGCTTTCTACTGTTGTGTCTTGAATTGCTTCATTTCCTTCACAGAGGGTAAAAAATTGTGCATAATTGGCACACACAATTGTCAGCAAATGTCTTTTAACAGCTTATGAATGAATTAGGTAGTCAAATGTTTATTACTTACTGTCCGAAAATATTTCTATCTACTTGACAGCTGGGGG